ATTTTTTGATTTTTTTTTTTTTTTGAATTGTTACATACCATTTCCATACATTACTTTCCAAAACGAAAATCAAGGCTTATGATTAGAATAAAAACACACACTCCCACGAACAAAATTTATTTAAACTGCTGAATGGGCTACAAAACACTAGTGCTCCCAAGAAGAAATTCAATGATCACTCGTCAAAAGTCAATTGTTTATCATAATGCAGCAAACTTGCTCCTGCTCTCAGAGTCGTCATTCTAATTCAAATATATCATAATAAAATACAATATTAAAATTGGAAGAAAGAAATGCAAAAAAGAACGATTAACAACGAACAATTATAATTATAATAGTAATTATACACGGGCACTTTCACAACTTAAACTGAACCGTACCGAATTACCGAAACTGTCTCTTATTAACTTTTATTCAACAATTTTACTTTTTTTATTATTTACTCATCGTCTCTTTTTTGATATTTTATATTCATTTTCAAATTCTTCATATTAAACTCTCAACACGAAGTAAACGCGATCACACTCTCTCCAAACCATTTTAATATCGCTGATACATACCTATAAAGAATCATAGCAAATTAGGAAGTGATTTACTGAACTCAAAAACAAAAATATTTCATATAACGTAACGTACGTATTTTCCCATTTTTCCCAAAATCATACTAACGATAAGTTCTTTAGTAAAGCGTATACTAATCTCAAAAAAATCGAGCTTTGAAATGCACAAAATTAAATTCACTAAACGCCGCAACATTCTCAATAATTACATTAAAGTAATAATTAGAAGGAGAATTTTGTAGACGTTTTTAGTCTTAATAAGCGACGATCTTTTTAATATTATTAACTGAAAGAGCCTCCCACCCATGTCATAACACTATACTACTACTAATAATAATAATAATAATCGTAGTCAGAATAATATTAGATGATCATTCTTGAAATGAAAAAAACTCTTCAATAAATAAAAAATAATTAAAAAAGAAATATATACGTTTCTTCTCAAAAATATTTAATTGCATATGCATGAATATAAAAAACACTCTCTGAGAATAGCAACAACTCTCACATTATTTCGTTTATTTCTTTCAAAACATGAAACATTATTTTCTTTCTTCACTTTTATCCATTATTTTAATTGTGTGGTATATAAATATTTGCAATAATAATCTACATAGCTGTAAAGCATATCGAAAAACTGCTTAATTATGATTTAAGTGAGCAAACCAAGAAAAAAACGGGATAACAACATCATAAAAACAAGGTGCACACACACATACACACATGAGGGGGTACGACACAAAAAAAATTACTTAATTTGAACACTTCGGCTTGCAACACAAAAAGCTCCAACAGTACGAGGAACTTTATTAGACCAGTATTCCAACCACCGTTATTGAAAATGTTTTAAATATAAATCATCAAGAAGTGTCACTTGATTTTGCTAATCTTTTGCTATAATGTCATGTTATAATACTAATAAAATGCCAAGTACATATGATAAATTTTTCCAAGTCCCATATTTTTGTTGGTAAGTTAACAGCAAATATATGAAAGTCGATTAGATTGTGATAAAGTTAGGATACTTAATTATAATACTCGTTCATCAAAAAGAGAAAATCAAATGAAATTGAGCTAAATAAAACCCAAAATTCCATTAGGCAAAGGAAGACTAGAATGCCAGTTAATTAATTTGATTGAATGACGATTGTTATACAAGTACTGCTGCTAATTAAGCAGCCTTTCGCTGAATTACCTCAAAATCAAACTATTCTTACTACTTTTTGATACATTTTATACGAAATTTCACAACACACAATATGTTCTTTTTTTAGCTATTACTACAGGGCACTCCTTTTCATAAAGAAACATATCAAAAAGCTTTGAAGAACCCACAAGACCAAAAAACCAACACAAAACTAAAAATATACACGACGATTGTATAATAATTAAATAATTTACAATTTGTATAAAATCAAATTATATATGAGCATCATATTAATGAACAAATAATAAGGCAAAAAAGCTTCTAAAAGTCAAACTAATCAAAAGATCAAAATGTAATGGTTACTTGGTCTTGAAGGCCGATAAAGTCCGTTCAAAATNACACGACGATTGTATAATAATTAAATAATTTACAATTTGTATAAAATCAAATTATATATGAGCATCATATTAATGAACAAATAATAAGGCAAAAAAGCTTCTAAAAGTCAAACTAATCAAAAGATCAAAATGTAATGGTTACTTGGTCTTGAAGGCCGATAAAGTCCGTTCAAAATATTAAAGAGTAAACTATTAAAACCCGTTTCGAGATTTCAAAGAGCTAATTGATATTTTTTGGAATACTGCGTAAAAACGTGCAAGTGGTGGGTATTAAAATCACTATTATAATAATATAACAGGTGTAATATAAACAACTGCTTCAAGTTATATTAAACATATAGTATATAACGGTGGTAATAATAATAATAATAAAAAAACAACAATGGCGGAGCAGTGTGGCTTATGAAAAGGAGGTAATGAAAATTAGCAGAAAAGATTAATCATACTTTAAAAAACCTTTGTCCTGCTGCTGTTGCTGCGGCGGCGGTCTCGGCCACTGACCGTCCTGACCTTGGCCTTGGTTCATCCAGCTCAGGAAACCGGGATTGTTACCTCCCCCTTGATTGCCACCGTTCGCGTTACTACCTAAATACAATATAAAAATATATCTCAAAAAACCATCTGAAAGCTAGTGCTATTGCTAACTACTGCATTGAATAAACAATAATTATTTATCTGAGCTCGTTACAAAAAAAAAGTTTGGGTATTTTAATACCACCAGCTTCTAATGCTGGTAGGAGTCAGTTTCCTTTTAGGAATCGCAGGAGGGGGGGAATTGGTGGTTACGAAGAGACAGATGCAAGGTACGCAATGAAGACAACACTTAAGTGAATGATACACCCACTACGAACACTTGACAGTCACTAAACTCACCTGAATTGCTATTGGGTGGATTGTTGAAGCCCTGATTAAAGTTTGGCTCACCCTGGTTCTGGAGATTGCCTATAAGGCCCCAACTGGCTTGATTAAGTGCGGCAGCTACTAATGCAGGATTCATGGGGAGCGCGCCCAAATTAAGGCCCAGCCCAAGAGGGTTGCAGTTTTGTTGCTGACCACTCTGACCTTGCTGACCTGTAATACCTGCCCGTATGATATACAACACTGTTAATATCAAGGGTCAACAACGACATCTTGCCAACTATTATTTGCAGTTTATTAATTTAAAATTAAAAGAAGGAAATTATAATTTGAGTTTACTAAATAAGTTGTTAAAATAATTCTCAACAAAAAAAAAGATAAGTACTTGTATNCACGATTGTCCGATTTGGGAGCCGCATTCGACACATGCACAGATACACCTTCACAAAGATAAATTTAAAAGTGTATTATTCTCAAATACAATAGCCTTTACTACACTTATGTATGTTTCAAGAAAAAGGCACTTAATTAAAATAATTCAATAATATTAATTAATAATTATTAAGTTGCATTTATTAATGAAATGAGTGTAATGACAAACTGTTACCTTTTATGATATGGTCTTCTCCACACAAACTCTGGGCAACTTCAGGGTCCAGAAAAGTAACAAAGCTGAATGCTCGGAATGGTTTTGGTATAAAAACATCTGTAACTTCTCCAAATTTACCAAAATACTCTCTTAAGTCATCAGCAGTCAGATCTTCTGTGCAACGTCCTATAAATACTTTACAAGGTACTTGCTGAATCAATCCTTCCTAAAAAGAAAAAGTTAAAATACTTTTAGAGAACTACAATAATCAAAGTTCTTTACCTTTGAGTTGGGAACCTTCACATCACACCATCGTCCATCAATCATGTGCCTTTGGGCTAGTACTCGCATCTGTGATTCATAAGAAGCAAACCTAATAAATCCAAATCCTTTAGACTGTCCAGATTTTGGGTCCTTTTTAACCTAAACATAATTAATGACTTTATAACGTAGCAAAAGCAATTGTCTGTAAGAAATCATACCTGAGCCATTATTACTTCTCCAAAACTTTCAAAATACTCTCGTAAATTTTGCTCAGTTGTTTTCCAAGGCAACCCCAACACTATTAAATCTGTACATTTTAGTTTAGTCTCTATCCTCTTTGTCTTTGCTGTGGAGTTCTCCAATGCATCATCTGATTTCCTCTTATTCTCTATAATAATATACTTACAGATTGCAATTCAATAAAAGCATAAAACAAATTTCTAACAGACTTTTAACAGCTCTCTATCTTTTATTTTCAAATGTTACACAACAAAAAGACAAGTAAACTCGGATTATTAAATTATTCACTACAGCAGGATATATTCATATTCCAAAAATTTTCAGTGAGAATAAAGTTCATTACAGCCTAATAAGGCTGTTATGTTCATATATTGGTAACTAATCCAATAAGAGTGCAAAAATAAGGATAAATTAGAGGTAAACATTATGGCTATTTATGGGTTTCATAACCTATTTGTGCAACAAATCTTTTTCACAAAAATGTAATTGAAAGCCAAGTTTAATTGTTTGTGCATGCACATATTTATTATTATCTACTCACTATTATGCAAACATGATCACCTTCAATTTATTTCAAGGATCTTTAAAGTGACAAACAAAAATCTACCCGCCTTTAGAAAATAAAATGACCATGTAGTATTGTACCTTTGGGAAAAACGCAATAAAAGACCTGAGAGCCCCATCCAATCTCTGGTGGTGGATGTAATCGTCCATCGCTTAATCTTACACCTCGCATGGCTTTTGAATCGGGATTTCTGTATTTTAATCCACATGATCCTGGAAATTGAGCTGAGAGGGTGCTAAGTAACAATGTGCCGTCGTCCTCCGTGGGTAGCTCAATGGGTTCCTCGCCCTCGTCTTCAGCTACTTGCAAATATTCGACCGACATCCTCATGCACACACAATCAAAATCACTCTTAAATTAAAAGTACACGTGCTGTGAAACACAAGCACTTAGTCGACAAACTGTCGTCCACTGCAGTGAAATACCTAATATGGCGGATGCCGGATGACAATCAAATCAGTTGTCGCAAACATCCGTTTGGTTTAACGTAAATGACAACTCAAACGGCGGGAATAATTTGAAATTCACTCTCACCGAACAAGTTATTACAAATTAGGAGTAATTTTCACAAATTGTTAATAATGACCACTTAAATTATTTCTGGTAGTACCTAGTTCAACACTTTATCAAAAAGCTTAAAATAAGAACTTGTGATATTAAGACGAAAGAAAAACAATGCAGTCACATAAATTGTTATTTATTAATCCATAACAAACAAGTACAAAGTTTATTTTTCTTTCAACTTTAGTATATTTTATTTTTATTACAAAGATATTGGAGAGAATTGAAAAGTTTTTTTAATTCGCTGTAATACTTAGTAATGTAAATGCATAATTTGAGATTACAGATAATTCATGAATTAGTTTTAAAAGTAACAACATTTTTACTAGGCTCACTACATTAATTAATTTGACAGAGATTATTTAACGTCTCATTTAAGATCGACAGTGAAAATTAATTTGAAGGCTTATTAGTGTTATTTAAACAAAAAAAACACTGCAAGCAATCATAATATTAAATCATAATAATTAATCGATAGTTATACTTCATATCAAATAATAACACACATTTAATGGGTAGAAAGACTAAAATAATGCACCATAATCACGTCAGACTTCACAAGCATTCTGAAATGTTGCACTGCATAATTTGAGATTTGCTTCCTGTTAAATCTGTGTTATTAGTTAATTCAATTTGTGTTACAAAAGTTATAGACATTTACAAAATTCGAAAAATACATGGAAATGGGGGGACGTACCTGATCATACAAAGGAGGAGAAAAAATATACAGGATGGGGGGAGACATGCAACAAACTTATGTATGGTAACTTTTATTTTTCGAAAGGGCTTCGTATGTAGCGGGAATAAGACGATTCACTATACAAGAGGGAGAACAATATTTATGGGAAGGGAGACAACAAAAGCATTAATATGTACTACTGCAACCCTCAAAAAATAGTTACTCACCCAAAGCTTGCAAATTTGGCATGTCCAGATTTCCTCGAGGACCACCTTGGTTGCCCCAATTGTTCTGGTTGGGACCTGGACCATAGCGTTGATTGTACATACCAGGACCGTCGGGACCGTTAGATCCAGGACCGCGACCCCCATGTCCTCCCGGTCCTCGACCGCCCCCACTACCGTAGCCCCCACGATTGTCCGATTTGGGAGCCGCATTCGACACATGCACAGATACACCTTCACAAAGATAAATTTAAAAGTGTATTATTCTCAAATACAATAGCCTTTACTACACTTATGTATGTTTCAAGAAAAAGGCACTTAATTAAAATAATTCAATAATATTAATTAATAATTATTAAGTTGCATTTATTAATGAAATGAGTGTAATGACAAACTGTTACCTTTTATGATATGGTCTTCTCCACACAAACTCTGGGCAACTTCAGGGTCCAGAAAAGTAACAAAGCTGAATGCTCGGAATGGTTTTGGTATAAAAACATCTGTAACTTCTCCAAATTTACCAAAATACTCTCTTAAGTCATCAGCAGTCAGATCTTCTGTGCAACGTCCTATAAATACTTTACAAGGTACTTGCTGAATCAATCCTTCCTAAAAAGAAAAAGTTAAAATACTTTTAGAGAACTACAATAATCAAAGTTCTTTACCTTTGAGTTGGGAACCTTCACATCACACCATCGTCCATCAATCATGTGCCTTTGGGCTAGTACTCGCATCTGTGATTCATAAGAAGCAAACCTAATAAATCCAAATCCTTTAGACTGTCCAGATTTTGGGTCCTTTTTAACCTAAACATANAGAGTAAAAGGCTGTTGAAAATGTAATAGGCAGGAAACATCGGCACTATTTTTGGTGCTTCGATGGAAGTACTGCAAAAAGTGTCGTATAACGACGTGGACAGCACAATAAATAAAATAAATAAAAATCCTGTATATATTATAACAAAAATATTTACATTCCAAACACTGGAAATTGTCATAAGTGTTTATCTCTAATCTTGTGATCCATAAAAAAAATATTTCTTAATCAGGGCAAAAGTTATCATTTTTTAAATACAATGTAAATACTTGTTATGTTATTTAGTTTACATAAAAGTTATAAAAAAAAATGGATGCTCACCTCCTTATTATCCAAAATGGATAAATTCCAGTCCTTGTAATTATCCATGAAATTGTAAAAATAGCAAAAATTACATCACAAACTCTTTGATAACCAGAATACTTGGTCATTTTTGCAGCCTAAAAAATATACATACATATAGAGTTTTCCATGGATAGTATAACAACAAATTATACCTCTAAAAATACATCGGCACAATCATGAACCACAATTACTAAACTTCCTATTCTTACTAAGTTTCCTATCCATGATAAGGACATTAAAACTATAGTTGCTACATGATGAATGAACATTTGCCAAAAGTCTTTATGAACAACATCAAAGAAATGACTAAAGCACAATGACCAATAAAATGTCAAATTCATCATGTAATAGAACCATAAATCTGTTGTAACAGACTGATTGGGAAAGGTGTACCTGAAGTAAATGTTTAATTACAAGTCTTAATTAAATAAAAATGGAAATGGAAATTTTACCAGCACTCGTTTATATCCCACAACCATGGCTTGCTCCACAAGATGGTTAATCCATAAATAAAGCTTATGGTATAATAAAAACAACGCCAAGAATTCTCACAAAACTTTACCAAAGTCGATGGCTTATCCTGACTTCTTCTTAACCTTAACCATCTTTCAACCTGTCTTTCTGACATATCTAGTTGCTTGGCCAATCCTTGAATCTGTTTATGACTTAATTTTGATTTTGATTGGTATGCTTTTTCTAAAATTGGATTTGACGGTGCTTTTTTGGGCCTAGTATTCTTAATACCTAGAGACAATCCGACTGGGGCAAACCAATACCTTTTGAAAAGACAACGTTAAAATTTGAGTAGAGTAACATAACCTTCCACTTACCTTTCGAGTAAATATCGCAATCCTAACATTAAAAATGCCATTGGTATTGGATAATACAAATGCTTCGAGTTTGGAAAAGTCACCGATTTGCCTGGTTCAGGAGCAATATCTTTCCATGTTGTATTAGGCGGTAACCAAACCGACTCACTCCAGAATACCTCTGAGGCTCGTTCCAGATATTCCCACATTATTAAATTTCACTGACACTATTTGCTACAATTATACATAAGCTGCAATAAGTTACACCAAAAATATTATATGAACAATTTTAAATACATTTCCTTTTATAATTTACTAGTTTTAGTAGCATCAAGGATTCCAGAGACAACACCCAGAAGACACCCACCATAAGCAATAAAAGTCATAGATAAACAGAAACATAGATAATATAAAAACTACTCTATGTCGACTAGTTGTAACCATAGATCACCAAAAGAAAATTTATGGTCATTATTTGTTTTTTGCAATGTAAACATCAAGTAACGAAAAATGTTATCATTAGAGTCAAATTGACTCATATTTATCTGATACTTCTAGCATCTAGTGAATAAATATAAAGCATCTTATCTGTTTAATTTAAAACTTATCAGCATAATTTCAATGCTGCAGAGATACGCAGAAATATTTCTGCGTTTCAAAATTAAGTCTAGAATGTTGCAGCTAACTCCATACGGTTATAATTTGTACAGACATTTCAAAATACCATTGATAGTATATGCAAAAGGGTAAAAAAGATAACTGTTTAAAATAAATACGTATATGAACAACTAAAAGAATAGTTTTACATAAATAAACAAACAAATAAATAAATAGATGAATAAGTTTATTCATTACACTAAAGTACTTGAACAGTTTTTAAAGTTGTTTTATGGTATGATAGTACATACTTGCTTATCATTGTCTATGATAAGAGATAAGATAACAGTAAACAAGCTGATCTTTTTACTAAAGAAAGAAAGAAGTTTATAAGCGCAGGCAAGATGTTTAGTATAAAATTAAAACGAGGGCAAAGTTTTAATTCAAAGACAAAGAATACATTAGAACTACCTGAAGATGAACGTCTTCTGCATGCTAAAATACCAGTAGATAAAATGATGCCCAACAGTTCAAAAGATTCAAAGACAATGTTGAAATATTCGCAAAGTGACAGACGATCTACCAGACCGAAATTTTTAGATAGTTTGGTGAGTAGCAGTCATTTCCGAAGACAGGTGTTAAAAAACAAACTTGAAAACCGCAAATCGCGATCATGGGATGACTTTAAATTTCGTAATGATTCTCATGAAGTTTACGGGAATAGTGGAACGAAAATGACCGCGATAATTAAAAATAACAGTGACATTCATGTGAACCGCAAAAAAAGTGTTTCTAATACTGAAATCGATGAAATATGTGATAAAAACGTGCATTTCACTAAAGTTTTACAGGAACTGAAAAGTAAAAATGTCTTTAAGGAAAAACAGGTAGGATATTTTTGATTTATTTGACCTATATCGCTTTATAAACAGAATGGCTCACAACATTGAAATATCTGTCAAGTTCCTATTCCTGACCTGCCTTTCTAATTTTTATTGTATGCACATAATCGTATTTAGATCGATTCCAAAGAGGCCACCGTCACGATTAACATTTAAGCAAATTTTGTAATTTCTTTTGCATAATTCAAATTTGTTCGAGATGAATAAGTTATAGGAAAGTTAGTATTTTGCCCTCTATTGGTCTGACGTTATTAATTTTAATAGGCATGTGGATATAAAAAAAAAACGAAGCAATACAGATTTTTAACTTAAAAATTACTGTCTAATACTTTTTCAAAGGTTTTTATCAGTTCAATCTCATTTAAAGTGTTCGTCAATGGCATTGGTCCAGACAATTACCTAATTCTGATTCGTTGATTATCTTGGTAACCATAGTAACACTACCCACAATGGAAGATCAATTTTCTGACTTGTATTCAACCTACATCTCTTTAAAATTTTACTTTTAATAAAAACTAGTTCTTCCCCCCCTATCAGCCATTGTGAGCTCGAAAGTGTTAGCACCATTGGTGTGAGTGCTCAAAATTCACTTTTGTGAGCAATACTATGACGTAGTGTCGGCCATCATTTTTTTTAATTGTTGCTGTTGTCGGCCATCATTATTTTCTAATTGTTGCTGTTGTCGGCCATCATTATTTTCTAATTGTTGCTGTTGTCGGCCATCATTATTTTCTAATTGTTGCTGTTGTCGGCCATCATTATTTTCTAATTGTTGCTGTTGTCGGCCATCATTATTTTCTAATTGTTGCTGTTGTCGGCCATCATTCTTTTTCAATTGTTGTCGCATTGTCACTGATGTCGGCCATTATGGTTTTTTAATAGATGTATAGTAATAATCATTCCCATAAAATCCATTG